GTTTGTTTGTTTGTTTGTTTGTTTATCAACAAATATGTTTGCTTTCCCCCCCAGAGGTGCATGTTGCATATAGGGTTGCTCTACCCTGTATTCCAAACGCTTCCCATCTAAGCTGCAGTGATCTAGTTCCTAGCCATCCTGCAGATGGGCTTCTACAGACCCTACTATAATTCCACCTTGTTGGGTTCCCCATAACCAGCAGAGCTATCAGGGAACATTGGGGTGTTTTTACAATTTTAAAAGCATTTCTAGCTAGAGTAAAATGTGTGCTTGTGACTAAAAGTTTCCTGGAAATTGTGACAGACCCAGACCAGTGGGGTACAGGAGTCTGGTAGAGGGCAAATATACTGGTCACTGGATGAGTAGTTTTCTGTTCCCTGAGTGACCAGAGCAGGGGCTGCACTAGAGTAATCAGGAACCTGCTAGAACCAGTGAAGGCAGGCAGGCTAATTAGGACACATGGAGCAAATTAAGAAGAAGCTGCTAGAATCAACTAAGGCAGGCTAATCAGGGCACATGGGTTTTAAAAAGGAGCTCACTTCAGTTTGTGGTGGGAGTGTGAGGAGCTGGGAGCAAGAGGTGCAAGGAGCTGAGAGGTGAGGGTATGCTGCTGGAGTTCTAAGGAGCACAAGCGTTATCAGACACCAGGAGGAAGGTCCTGTGGTGAGAATAAGGAAGGTGTTTGGAGGCGGCCATGGGGAAGTAGCCCAGGGAATTGTAGCTGTCATGCAGCTGTTCTAGGAGGCACTATAGACAGCTGCAGTCCACAGGGCCCTGGGCTGGAAACCCAGAGTAGAGGGCGGGCCCGGGTTCCTCCCAATTGATCTGGACTGTGGGCTCTTCCAGAGGGGAAGGGCTCTGGGCTGTTCCCCAACCCACATGGTGAATCTCTGAGGCAGGAAAATCCGCCAATAAGCACAGGACCCACCAAGATAGAGGAGGAACTTTGTCACAAAATGTATTGTGTTAATCACAAATTAGTTTGACTACTTTATAGACTATTACTTGTTTATAGAATAACAAGTGGGAAAAGGTCTACAGAGCAATCAATTTCTTCATCTCACAGAACTGTCCTTAAGGGTTTTCACCATTTAATCAAGAGTCTTTACAATTTAATCAAGGTATCTGTTCAGCAGAAATCCAGAATTCAGGAATCTTCAGTTCATGAGCTGCAGAGCCTAATTTTGATTCAGGAATCAAAACTGTCTGTTTTTGTTATCAACCATGAAACCTTGATTTCTGCCTTTACACTATCTGCAGATCTATCAAAGAAGATACTGTTACCTGTGTGATACTGTGAAGGAAGTGGTCTACAGGTGACAGAACTGTGACCTATATACATTTTGGAGGAGCACTTAGAGACACATTGACAGACATGACTATAATTGTCAGTTATGAGTAACAAACAGGTTTCTCTTGATGCTAACCAATGGCCCATGAATAGGCATTTATATGTTCTGAATAGTTAACTGTACCCATTACATTCTTAGTGTTGCCTGACGAAAGCTATATAAGCAACATGAATTAGGAGTTCATACATGATACCACAGCTAAGAGCTAGCTTTCATATTTTTCTCTTCCTATGTTCTTTGCTACTCATTCACAATACACAAGGGTAAGGATCTCATCAGTATTTTCCTGATTATTGACACTTTGCCCATCAAGTGGAGGAACTGCTTTCCTAGTCTTAGTGTTTCTAGCTTGCTTATCCTGAATCTTCTTTCACTCATTGTCTTCACACAGTGTGTGTACGCATGCTAATTTAACTAACACACATTTTGACCCATTAGAAGTGTTGGATTTCAAAAGGAGGTGATACAGTAAAGTCTTGATTTCCTACACAGGAAGGCTTTCTCTCTGCCATTCGTCTGTTGCATAATGGCAACTGATGAGATTTGGTCTGTTAATCACAATTCAACTTCTCACTTCAATAAAAGAACAGTGAACATACCTAAGAAGCAGGTTGAACAAGTATTGTTTAATTTATGCAACACTACAAACAAATGAGTGAGAAACAAATGTCTTTCACCTGTCCATAATGTGTTTTTTGTGCCTCATTTCTGAGCCCTTTATTCTCATATCACTAGTGTTAAACCTTTTGATTAGTTTGTCCTTTGTCAACAATGTGGATGCATATCTGTGAAATCTCAACTTCTAATATCAATGCGCTGATCCCAGGAAATGATTTGTAGTCTGATTCATTCTTGTTATCCATTCACAAATTTATGCAGACAAAGAACCAATTTACAACATTCCAATCAAAAACATCCTCACTGTGGAGAAGCTTGAGGAGAGCGCCTTCAATAGGAAAAATGTGAGTCAGATGTAGCTTTTGAAATAATAGATTCATAATTCCTGAGAAGTTCTTGAAGAAATGACTACTGGTGATAACTTCATAAAATAATCCCTCATCACTTTAGAATTAAATTCTCAATTTTTTTCTGCCCTGGGTCCCCAAACCAACATTTTTTGCCATTACTTCAATCCCACAATCCTCTGGGGTCATGAAACCATAGGTGTTCTTTGAGCAGGGGTGATGGAGAAGGGGGCTCTGGAGGGTTCTGATGCCTTTAATTTGTGAAGAAATTATGTTGCTGCCGCTGTGAGGTGATGCTGAAGGAAATAGGGGGATTTACATCTCCCCTTCCCTCCTCATCCACATGTTACTCTGCTCCAAAGAAGTGCTGCTCAAAGATGGGGAGCAGCTGTCTGAGCACCAGGGGCCACTGGGTCAAGGCAGCTGGTTCTTTACCTTTTTTAGCAGTGCTTCCTGGTATCAGGAAGTGGTGTAGCAAGGGAGCAGAGATGATGAGTGAAAAGTAGTATCAGTGTCCCAGGATGCTTGGTCAGACTAGAAATGGGGCAGCAGCAATAGAGAAAGGAGGAAGAAAGACCTCTCCTTCCCTCCACTTAATTCACTTCCTGTGGTTCCTTGTGGCTGTTGGGTTTCGGTGATTTTTTTACAGTGACCTCTGAGTTGATTTGAATATCTTCAGAGTTACTCAGTATGTCACTGAATAGAATTTTTGCAGAATAAAACACTTTCATCCACAGATGTTTCAAGTGATTTATGGAGAGAAGCCACTCTATATCCAGGCAAATAACTGTGTGGAAGCTAGTGAGTGGATAGAAGCTCTCTGCAGGGTAAGCAGGTGTAACCAGAAGAGACTGAGTGTTTATCATCCCTCTGCTTTTCTGAATGGGAACTGGCTTTGCTGCAAGGCCACCACTGAGAATACAAAGGGCTGCACTCCATGCACTGCGTAAGTTGCTTCTGAAGTAAAAAGCATTCTATGATAAAATGAGTCATTGATTCCTTTTGCAACTTGCAGATGGTTTAAGCATTAATTTCATATTTTCTTTCACAAGTTAGCTGGATGCATCTCTCCTAGTTTAAAAAAAAAAGTAACTATGCTTTATCAGTATAAAATATTTTATATTGTTAGGCATGTTATTTCATCTAATACCATTTCAAAATACAAGAAAAGGGCAGTGTAGCATGTAAATTAGAAATGTTGTAAGTTTATTGATATCCCTCTACAGAATATATATTGTAGCTCAAGATTCCTCTAGTCTGGACATTGATTGTTAGATTACCTCACCCACCAATATTACAGAAGCAGTCGTTTTTAGAACCAAGTGGCTTCTTCACATATACTGTAAATATGGGACTGCATTGCAGTCCCTCTGCTGCTGCTACAGAAATGGCTTCTCTCAGCAGCTGTGCCACAGACCCTTTGGATGTTTCATGGCTGCTGTCTCTTCCCTCCCCACCCTGCAGTAATTGACAACCATCAGCCAGATCCTGTCATCCGATTAATCTGCTTTGCACACCTCTAGGAGGATGAACCCTTGAAGCTGGCTTAACCAGCTATACAGAGATATCCCTGTTCACCCTCTGGGCTCTGGTGCACAGAATGAGTGGAAGGCATGTTGAGGAAGGGGTGTAACCAGTGTTGTTTATCTCTGGCTACCTCTGGATGGTGCAACTGCTTCTTTTGGATTGTTAGCAGCTGTTGAAAATTAGAGCAAATTTGAGGCTTCTCTAGTTTGATCAGATTCAGGTTTCAAGTTAGGGTGCACAGATAGCAGAGAGCCACTGTCGCACCCTGCTAGCTAAGTTGAGCACTGTTTGCTGACTTGCAGCTGATGATTCAGCCCCAGGTCTGTCACTGTGCTGTTCAAGTTGTCCACTTTACCTTTTTACCTAGTATTCTACCAACCATTACTACAATAATTTTCTTTAAAACATACTGTACCTAAAGAAGAAATATGCAATGCAATCTTACAATTTTGTGTTTGTGACAAAAGTATTAGTTTGCTACTTAATTTTAAGCTGCTGTTTAAAAAAAAAAAAAAAAAAAAAACATACATTTGCATTTCTAATACATTTATCTTTAATAACTTGATGGCTTGTATGCTACCCTCAATGTTTAATTCAATCAACACTATTAAATCATCTAGTCCAGTCCCACAGACCCATGGAAAATGATACCCTATAATAGTATTAACTGAAAAAGTATTATTATTTTAAAATATCTCAATTGATTAACACAGTAGGACTTCCACCAATTCAAATGAACATTACTTTTTAAGAATGTTTTCATCTCTTTATTCCTAAAAATACTCCATTATACTTCTTTAAATAATGCCTCTCTCTTCTAGTGTCTTCACCTTTCAAATATAGTAGGGACTATTAAAACTGGTCATTTATTCCCAGTGGTAACTAAATTTATTGCAACATTGGAATTATTTTCAAATATACAGCAAATGCTGCTGTAAAAGTCCATTTTTAGTAACACTATACTGTCTTCTACTTTAATTTGTGTAAACTCATGTTTTTGCATCCATATAAGATTTATTAACTTGTTAAATTTTGAACACTAGTTTGAACATGTGAAGTTCTATGAGTGACCGGCATTGTAATTCTAAATGGCTAAATATATTGAAATTCATTCAGCTCTTTTTTGCGTTCAAGCTCTCTAGGAGAGCTTGCAATATTTACTATCTATATCGTCACCTAACTTTTTTTTATTTATTTTGGTTGTAGAGGTGTTCCTGCTGATATTCAAATTGAGATTGATGGGGATAGAGAAACCGAAAGAATTTACTCACTTTTTGCTATCAACATGCCTAAACTACAAAAGATGGAAGGTATCTGAATACTAATTCAATGGAGTTACAGTAGCATAAAATAATTGTAATGGCATGGAGAATAAGACTGATAGTGTCCTGTTAATGTTTTATATTTTCATTTTAATTTTATATAAAATTGTACGTACTTTCTACTAAATTTCTGATATTACTGTATGATCAAATCATTCTCGTTCAGCAGTTTGAGGTACAGTCTCCCCTGAATGTGCACATGTAACTCCCATTAATGTGCTAATTGGATTGGTATGCAAATTAACGAGACTGTACAACAATTTACATGCAGTGAGCAAAGGGAATGCCACTTGGTCTTGTACTACTGCTCTTTTATTAGTGCTATGAAAAAGAATCCTTGGTGGCATGACTAAGATTCAAGAAAGAATCAGGTTTATGGCAGCATTACTGGTAGTCATCCTATTGTGGGGACCCCAGTAAGTAGAATTAATGTTAGACCCATTGAGGATGAACTTACAAAGCTAAACCAAGTTGTTCACCATATCCAATTAATACGATTTTTCCTCCTTTGCTTGTCCATTTTATGTTTGTTAAAATTAACTCCATATCTGAAAACCTTGAAATCCCTATCTGATAAATGAGATGAGTTAGCTCTGTTTACTCAAAGTAGAAAACTCTATAACCTTTTATTTGTGGTGATATTTGTAGAGGCTTGTGGAAGTATTGCAGTCTATCAAGGTCCACAGAAAGAACTAGACGACTATTCTAATTTCACAATTGAGGACTCTGTAGCAACTTTTCAAACTCTTCAACAAATAATAGCCATAGTAGAAAAGCTGAATGAGCCTCATGAAAAATATCGGAAGAAAAGATCATCAAGTGCTAAATACGGCAGTGAGTAAGTATCCTCTGTATTTCCAGCCGCCTTGTATGTACATATGGGGAAAAAAGGATGGGTGGTGGGGGGCTTTGAAGGAGTGTCTGAACACCTTCTGATGATAGCTGTTGAGTGTAAACCTGTCAGGGCAGGGATTCTTTTCTTCAATGTTTGTACAGTGTGCAACACAATGGGGGCCCTAAACCCAACTGGACATTTGGGGACTATCTTAATGTAAAAGTTTATTACTACTACTGTTAATACATAAATCAGGTATTTAGACAAGCTGATTCACCACCAAATTATCATGGCACTTCATGGGGCATAATACCATTCCCCATAAGTACTGCTTCTGAAACAGGATTCCCAGGGAACCAAGTCAGCAAATACTAACACTACTAAAAGTACTGCAACGGTGACTGGTGTGAACACCTGTCAGTTTGACATCCCATTGGCCATGGTAAAAGGTGGGTTATATCAGCAGTCAGGCTAGTCTAGAACTTCAGACTATAGTGAATACTCATACTTTGTTGGTCATGGGGTTTTCTCTCCTTTGTGTAAGGAAGACCCAAATTGTAAGAGGAGGAGACCTCTTAACAGTTCCTATTTGCTCAGTGATTTGAACAGGTCTGTTTCGGGCCAATGTTGCTTTTGTGTGATAGCACATCAGGATTTGAGCTAACAATGAGACTACCCAACATGCACTAAAAATTATGCGGAAAGTATAGCTTTACATTTTAAAACAAACTGAAAGTTAAATTATATGATTATTAGAAGCCAACTATTTTCCCATCAAAAATACTTATATGCGGTTTTATTTTCCAGAGAAAACCCAATTGTTGGAAAAGTTTCCTAACGAAAATAAACTGTGGCTTATGTGGATTCAGAAGAAACTGGAAGTGTGTGTTTTTTGGTGGCTTTTTTTATATATATTTTTTTTAATTCATGGTGTACATTTGTCCAAAGTATTTAAGAATGAACAGAAATGCTACCCGTGTTCACAATCTATTTAATATTTAATAGAGAAAAGTATCTGTTTGGGAAACTGATCGTGAGGTTTATTCCTATTTTGATGAAGAACTTGAAGCTCCATGTTCTTGAAGTATCAGATGTGAGCAAATCTAAATATTTCTGCAATTGCTTTTTTTTTTTTTTTCTTCTTGGAACTTCCTAAAGGAATAAGCTTTCTAAAGGAGGAAAATCAACACCAATTATTTACTGGATTACACCTCTCAATATACTGGACTCACATTTAATCCACCATCCGTGCCTGCTGTGCCGAAAGTCTTGCAGTGGAAATCCCAACATATGATGACTCAATAGGATCTGAACCTTCACATTCAGTGCACGACTTCTTTCTCTTCCTTTGTCAAACTATTAATTTTATCAGGACTCCAAGGTAACTTTAACTGAAGTTTTATAAAATTATGCAGTGTGTTGTGTACTGCAGACACCAATGTTGGTTATATTTTTATTTTAAAAAAATTACTGAAGAAGGAGAAATCAGGGAATCTGTTGTTAGATTGTACCTCTTGTTTACATTTGGGGTGAGCAATGGATGGAGTGACATAAGACCACAGTCTGTTTTTCTTTTGTAAAAAATCAGGTACTAATTTTTCTTGGTTGCTTTTTTTTTTTTTAATTGCAGATTAGCAACACTTTTTGGAAGCTATCTTTCCTGCAAATGAGAAGAATGCAAATGTGACAATGCTGTGGTTGGATACTGTTCACTTTACATCTTTGCATCTAAGATTTTTTTGAAAATAAAAAATTGGCACATTTAGGTCCAGCTCACCTCTCATTACAGCTATATTAAATAATCTCTCTAGAATAATCACTCCAAGCACTTTAGATATCTGGACTGCGCCAGATTATATTTTTAGATACTTTGTAGTATCTAATCTTTATGATCAGTTGAATGATCAGTGCTGTTATGTGTTTAAAACAATGCTTTATGACCATTTTTAATTTCTAGTTATGTGGGTGGGGTTATTTGTCAGATCAAACAAATTTGAACTGGCATTCTTGACTTTAGAAAGTTTTGATTCTTGCTCTCTTCCTCTGAGAATTAGTTTTTTGTGCTGAAAACCATATCTGTACATAATCAGTAGAAGCAAGGTAACACTTCGGAGAAGAGAAGGCTAAACTTTCCTTCACCAGTATTAAATATTATGGTATACATGGTAAAGTACCAGTAAAATAAAATACACTGTGTACAGGTAGTACTTCATTTTTGTAACATTTGCTGTTTTTTAGAATCATGATTTGCCCCAGTCAGAGTTGAGAATGTAATTCATCAGTACAAATATAGATCCACAATGTTTACAAAACTATAAGCTGTTTAAAATACTATTGTAGGATGCCTTCTTCTCCGAAAATCCAGACTAGTCAGTACCACAGGATTGAAATCACTGTTGAAATTAAGGTAACTTTTCTATTAGAACAATCACTTTTTAATATTAAAGCAACTGATTGAAATCACTTAGGATTTGATACCAATATCTTCAACATCACAATCATTTATTACTACTTGCCATTTTACCAACAAGTATAGTCCTTTTTGTTTTTGCATTCCTTTAAGAATATATCCAATAGTAAAGTAATTTTACTTGCCCTAAATTTCAGTTAGAAAAAAATAAATTTATTGACACCCAGCAATGTATTCTGTCAAGGTCAATTTGACCTAGTTTATTTGCCAAAGAAACAAGGTTTGCCAGATTTGAACAGCACTAATAAGTGTTAGAATTAAGTTTTGCTATTTATTGTGACCAGTCTTATTACAAAATGTGCTTGTGTGTCTGTTTCTTGAAACCTGTTTCTGTCACTTAACAGCAAAGTTACATGTATAACAAGTTTAAATCTTATATTATTGTAAGGGGGGGGGGAAATTTTGAAAATGCACTTTTCATTTGCTTTGATGGTACTAGACTATATAGAAAAGGACAGCTAGGCCTCTAAGACCTGAGGCCTTTAAAATGTAATTTGTCATTTTATAGTATGTTTAAAAACGCAGTAGGTACTCTAGAATTAAATTAGGTACAAATAAGATGATTAATATTAAAGTTGCTTTCACTTTGATTAGCCTAGACATTAAAACATTGCTCAGTAATTAGTTTTACTTTGACTGTAAATTCTTTTTAATGTAGTTTTAATTTGTATAAGGATGATGTATTGTTGAAAATGTATTTTTATTTAAATTTATTTTCTTATAAAATATTAAAAACTTTTGTAACATTGCTTGAGAACAACTCACAAATAAATGATGACAAATTGATCTGGGCTATGTATTTTCTGTGAGGCCTGGTTTTCTTAAAAATTGTTGGTAGCTTAATTGCATAGTGAAGTAGAACCATTTGCTACAATCTGTCTTTCATCTTACAGAAACAGCATGAAGTGAAATTCAGTAATCCTGTATGGTTACCTCATACATTCAATTACTTTCTGATTTAGGACTGCTAGGTGGAGAGAAAAGCACTATTAATAGAAGGTCCCTTAGCATAACAATTTGCACAGGAGGGTAGCAATGTGGTCAGTCTTGAAAGGAGTACCCTATTAAATTGGTGAGTGGCCTGATGCATTTAAGGATATTTGGGTGTCTTTGTCATTGTATGACATGCTCATTGTGATTAGCATTTCAATGTGTCTGTCACTTCCTGTCCTAAAGATGAGTGCTAAATAAGCACCAGCATCTTCTCTGTTGTAACTCAGATAGGTTTGAATTGGGTACACAATCTAAAATCTAACTGCTCGTCCCATTTGTGCTTCAAAGGTGCAGTGGAACATGAATTCTTATTTTATCCAGCCCCTAAAGTAAATCCAAAACCACTGGAGCCATGTGAAAGTTTTCATTCAAATAGTGATTTATCCTATCAGTCGCCATTCAGCGTAAAATGAGTATTTCACTAGAGCCAGTGTTCTGCCTGTCTTCTGTGTTCATGAAGTTAACACGAGAAAGCTTGTAGGAGCTATTGGTCACTTGGAACTCTCTGTAAACTTCAAAAATGTTTTATCAGAAGGCTGACTTCTCTAGCAGAAAAGGCCTCATTAGTATTCGTGATAGCCTAGGACACAGGATGTGGGTTTCCATTCATGCAGTAACTCAGTGGTTCCCAAACTTTAACAACCTGTGAACCCCTTTCACTAAAATGTTAAGTCTCGCGAACCCCCTCCTAAAAGTGAATATTTCCAGGGATTTTCTCCTTTACCTGATGTCAAGGCTCCTTCCCCACTCTGAACTTTAGGGTACAGATGTGGGGGCCTGCATGAAAACCTCTAAGCTTAACTACCAGCTTAGATCTGGTCCGCTGCCACCACTCCCAGTGTGCTAATTCCCTTCCCTGTGTAGCCTTGGGAGACTCTTCA